TGGTGGGGCGGGGGGGGGATATTTAAGTGATGAAGTGGAAAAAGTTTCCATCTTTTGCCTGAAGGATTTAGGAAACTATTTATGAAGTTGGACCTGTGGTTTTGATATCTGTACTTTGTAATAAAATGAAGGATTCCTACAAGGCCTACATTAGATGACATCTGCTTATGGTTTAATTGCTATCGGATTCATCAGTCTAGAATCTTCTTCCCCCGACTGCAGAAAAGCAGTCAATACGAATAAATTTTTCCTTCTAAATATTATTGTTTGTAATCTAGTGTAGGATTCAAGAAACTGGCTACTAAATAAACAAACCATACACGGCTTTATCAAAAGTCTAGTTTAACAGAAAAAAATGTACTTCCATAAAGTCTGCAGGCCAAAACGCCAGAGCTTATAGAAGTAAAGTAAGATCATGGATCAAAAATCAGCATTGGGAACCTCAACCTAGATACCAGGTTCAATGGTGAAACTTTTCGCGTCCTCCTCCGCTGCACCCCCAACCTTTTATCTTTAACTTGTTTTAGAAAGTTTGATTTAATTTCAAACTTACTCAATGGTAAAATCAGAAGCCACTTTTGTATAATAATATGGCAACCATGAGCAAATGAGAAAGTTGCAACAGGGTTTATGGCATCTTTTAGAGTGAGGTAATAACTAAATAAGAAAGCAGGAAGTTGCAAGTTTCCCATGTCAGTGGCGTGAGAGATAAATATGTAGTAGTTCTTACATTCAGCTGTATATTTTAGGTCTTTGCTTAAAATCATTTTTTAGCATTTGTTCCCCTGACCTTGGACGATATAATCATTAAAAGAAAATCGTCAACAGATAATAAATCTTCAAAGTCAAAGAAAACAATACTGGTCACAGGAGTATTATATTGCTTTCCCATGAATTCTGGCATATTTTCCAATAAAATAAATGAATATCATTTTGTCTGATAAACAAATAAGAGAGTGACAGATCTATGCTTTTGGTGCTACTTCAATCTATTGTATTGAATAACTGAAAGAGTTACTTCTGTAGTAAGGCAAGTCAGATTCCTATGCTTATAGGAGTATGTAAAAATATGAAACTACAGTCTACATATATATCAGCTTTGGTTGATTGTGCTCTTCATTTTCACTATCCTCTTTTCCCCTCTAAAATTGTTCTATTGACTAATTTTCTTTATTTACTTTGTTCCTTCTTTTTCAGCTTGTCGATATTGTCAACCAAGGGAAATTAATCTCAGATGAAATTATAATAGATTTGCTGTCCAAGCGACTTGAAGCTGGAGAAGCTAAGGGTGAAGCAGGATTTATTCTTGATGGATTTCCTCGAACTATACATCAGGCGGTGAGCCAGTTATTTTGTAATAATTTGCAAAGATACATTAACCTATGTCCAGATTGATATTTGCAGTTGCTGGATAAACATTTCCAATAGGGTTAACTACTAATCTGAATGAAATCCTTTCCTTATGATACTTCTTATTTATATGTGTATTGTTAACATTTATGTTTACATGTGTTAACTGGGTTAAGATCTCGTACATCTATCTACTTTAATAGGCCATACTTTCTTTTCACTGTCTGGCATCTGCTACAGAGGCTTGCATAGAGGAAATGTATGAATGTTCTATATAGGCAAGGATGTGTTACTGGTTATGGCTGAACCTGGAACATTGCTTCTCAGACCATGTTGAATCTGCTGTTTGAACGAATAAAGTACAAAAGTTATAAAGCAACAAGAAAGCTTGACATGGTATTTCAATAGGGTGAAATTTTAAAGAATGCAGCTCTTTGTAGTTGGGGTAATTAGAGTAGAATGTTGATGGTGCTTGATCTTACATGAAATATGTTTTTTTAATTTTTACTTTTTATTTTATTTTATGTCTTAAGTTTCTGCAAAGAGCAAAACTCTGAACTATTTAAGCCTTTTGCAGACATTTTTAACCAGTGCTTATCGCTCTTATAGATGAAATCTAGGGAGATAAGAGCAAATATCTGCATTAAGCATATCTTATTAGTTGTTTCCTGGGTTCTTCTAGTGAAACCTGATCTCTGGACGAGGGTCCTTGCAACACATTTTCACAATTTATTATATTTCAGCTTTATGTAATTAATTGTCAATATTTGTGGCTTGTTTGAGCAAACATGTATATCATCTTATATGTTCTCTTAATTGCTACTACAAACTTCTAGAGCTTGCTTCTTATTCTTATGTCATCATGTAAGTAATGTCCTTAAAAAGTTTTAACTATGTGCATACCAGATTTTTTCATTACTGGTAGTCTTTATAACACATTAAACCTCTTCTCAGAACTGCCTTATACTTTCCTACCTTCTTTACGTCAAGCCTATAATTGTGTGACTATTATGATTGTTTCACTGGCATAAAAATTTTCTGTCACTATTCTTGCTAATTGTGCGCATTAGCTGGTTATTTTCGTAACTTTATAGAATTAATAATTTGTCCTCAAGGCCTAGAGAACTATTTTTTTTGTAATAAGGATGGCACAAACAGCATTGAGGATATGTTCCAATGTTTTCTCTTTAAAAAATTTAGCCTTTCAGTCATGGTTTTATTCTCTGTTTCTCCACCTTGTATGAGAGCAAAGGCCAAATATAATCTCAGAACTAAACGCCCTTGCATTAGTGCAATTATGGACAGTGAGCACTTCTATGGCGCTTTTTGTTGATTTAATAGCTTGGTGGTTGAATGATTGCATTTTCTGTTAGAATTATGTGTCAGTTTTAAAAGGCTTACAGGCTTACTGTTTCATGTTACTGATTAAAAGAGTTTCACCCTTAGAGTTTTCTTCCTTTGTTTTGATTAGAGGCTAAACTGCTATATTTTGTAGAACTTTGCTATTGTTGCTTAACCCATCTTCTATTTCTTCCTTGCTTTATTTATTATAATGTTATCTGTGACTGACTGCCGCACCAATATTTGTGGGATTAGAACAACTTCTAGATTATTGAAGTTGTCAATAACTTCATACCAAAGGAACAGCTTATCAGAAGGTAGAGGGATGAACTAATTGAGGATGTAGTCAACTAGCTGCTATTAGAGCTGCAAAGCAATATGGTGTACTGTCATATTTGTTGGCTGCTGTACTTGAATCTGTTGAGAGAAAATCTTGGATATTTTTTCACGTCCCATAACTAAAAATGTCAACTCACGCAAAAGAAGATAAACAGAAACGTTTAAGCATGGATATGTAGGGAGATTCTAATTCAGATATAGGGGTGAAAGCTGCATCTTTGTCGAGTTTCTGGATTTTATGTACTGGTTATAAACCCCTCTCCTTTCTTCACTATTGAAATAAGGAAAGAGCTAGGACCAGAGCATGGTTATCTTTAGGCATTCTTTCATGCGAAGTCAACTCGATGTCTTCACTAATGATATAAGGTTTGTTGTACTAGGGCTGCTTGCTGGAGTCTCTTCACCAGTTTAGAGAGAACTCATTGCAGGTCCAAGCAAGATGATGGTTTCAGCTGACTTTTGAGTTCCCAACTGTTTTGGGTTGATTAACTTTGTTTTTTTTAATGTAGTATTATCAATACTAGCAACGTGAGGGTTTCCTTGTGTTTGAAGCTGTTGTTTTCTGTTAGTCTGAAACCAAAATCAGCAACAGAAAATTCTTCTTGGTTAAAGTTTTCTTCATGAGTTTAAGTTTTTTAAATGTCTTCCTGAGTTTATGTTTAGTCAGTCCTAATCCCCTATTGCTTTATTGGTCAGTCATTTCCCCTATCTTGCTCTTTCTTTACCATGAGTCTAAAGCTATGTTGCTCCGACTCTTCAAAATCCCCGTCGCATCCGTGTCGACAGGACATGGGCGTGGGTGTAGGATCCACACTGGATTTGGTCAACTTACCTTAGGTGCTTTGACTACATCTATATATATACACACACACACTTTATATGTCGTAATATGCGTTTACTGGCTGTATTCCAGCACCTGTATCCAGCACTTGGATCCATACCTAGAATCCTAAAATTTATGTGATGAACAATCCGACCTTTAGATTCGCACCCGTATCAGATACCCATACCCGAGTCCGAGCAACATAGGTCTGAAGTGAGAGCAACTTTGTTGTACCCAGACTTCACTATCTTCTCCATGAGAGATACATTCTTAATTCCTAAACCTGTTCATTTGCTGGTTTTTCTCAACCATATATATATATATGTGTTTTACTGTCAGTATTGTGAACTGAGAATACTTGATCACTTGTTTTTTTGTCCAAAATCAACTTGCTCATTGGATAAATAAATTATCTAATGATTTGCGCTTGGAGCTTGAATCCCCAGGCTGCCTGATTTATTCCTTTTCAATCGACGACTGCATATAAATGTATCTATGTGAAAAGTGTTTGTTGCTTATATACTATATGCATATACGCAGTCATTGATGTAATTCTTAATCGTTCCAGTTCTTGTATTTTCACCCTGTTCAGAAATTCGTGTGATATGTCAATCGACCCTTTATCTCTCAAATTATGTATGGACCGCCATAACTGTCCACTTACTAGTAAAACCCCAGGCTCTGAAGTCTTAAATGTCAAAGTAAAATTAGGATGCTGGGGCCTGGAGATATGTCTGTCGGCTCCTCTCTTCTTTTCTGTTCTACAGTTCATATCATTTTCAGATTCGACATCTCGTATCTCGTTGATAAACATTCTTGATCATTGACTTCTTGTACCTGGTATGGCAGATGTCAGAATTGTTCTTGTGACACTACCATTTCCCTTTCAAAATATGTGTAAACTAAGATCCACTATTTTGCGGTGATGTTGGGGTTAATTTGACTGTTTTGGTGAGTCAATGGGTAGATAAATATTGTTTCGTGACCAAAACTGATTTATGTTGCGCCCTGCATGTTGTCAATGGGCAATAGTTCCCAAAATGCCTGTGCTTTCAAGATATGTGTAAACTACGATCCACTATTTTGCGGTGATGTTGGGGTGGACTTTACTGTTTGGTGTGTCAAATGGGTAGATAAATATTATTTCCTGGTGTGTAAAGACCAAAACTGAGCTATGTATGTGCCCTGCATCTTGTCAATGGGCAATAGTTCCAAATATGCCTGTGCTTTTTGAATGTTTCATCGATAAGCCTCTAGCTGAGCCTAGATGGTCAGTCTGGCCTAGCCTCACCTCCGATCATTTTCTAGGATTATCTTCATTTTTTCTTGTTCTTGGGACCAAAAGCTCCCAACAGAAGCATTAATATGACTTTGTCGGAGCTGCAGCCCCTTCTTTTCTTCCCGGCTGTATGTCTCTTCTATTGCTTGCTTTTTCCAGATTAATAATAGTCAACTACATGTAGTGTCATAGACTTGTATATCTTCTCAATCTCTTTCATCTTGATGCTTAGATCTGGACCCATCACTCTCTGGAATTTTGTTATTTTTGGCCAAAGCTCCTAAGGTCACCGGTCGTATCTTTGTTGCCACCAGAATTAGTGACTGCTTTTGAAATTCTGTTAACAAACTGGGATCCAATGAGCAAAAGCTGAATTTTTGTCGTCAAGTGTTCAAGCAAGGCTATTTTATATTCTGGACCTTGTTGACTTCACCTACCACTTGACATTGCACCTTTTCCCTTGTAAAATTGTTTTTTTAGTTCAGTCAGACCTTGTACTACAATTGAAGCGCTCTGCAGTCCTTGGTTCCTATAGTTGGAGGTTCTGTTTCCTCTATTGTTGGACCTAGAGATGAAACAGATCTGATCTGTGTAAAGGTCCAAGCCAAGAATTATCTGCAGTGTAAGTAGTCCATGGTTGTCTGCTCATCTGGTTAATATCTTAGCTGTTTTGTGCACTGAAATTGTTACGATCAATTTCATCTCCCAGTAAAGATACAAAGTATATCTTCTGAATCCAATTCTTCATGTGTTGTTTGGTTGTTTAGGAAATCTTAGAGGGAGTAACGGACATCGACTTGGTGATTAATTTGAAGCTCCGGGAAGATGCATTGATTGCTAAGTGCTTAGGAAGAAGGATTTGTAGCGAGTGTGGAGGTAATTACAATGTTGCATGCATTGATATCAAGGCTGATGACGACAAAACTAGAATGTACATGCCTCCCCTACTCCCTCCTCCGCATTGTGAAAACAAACTTATTACGCGGTCTGATGACACCGAAGATGTTGTGAAGGAACGCCTCCGCATCTACCATGAAACGGTATTGCTCTACCTCAACTTTTCTCTCTTATTTATCATTTCTCATGATGTGTAAGTTGTCTTTTCATGTAGTAGAGTGGTTAATAAAACCCCCAACTATTATCCTTTTTATCGCTATAAACTGTGTTCTCTTCATGTAGTTGAGTGGTGAATAGACCCCAACTAATATTCCTTTTATCACTATAAACTTTGTGATACTTGCATAAACAACAAAAAATTGTCACTACAACTTTAAAAAAATGTATTAGTGAGAGAAATTATGAGTTGTATATGTAGAGGACAACTATATAAGCAGTTGACTGCAGCAGTTGCTTGATTTAACTTTTTCCTGTAACATGTCAAATCAAAAGATAATCACTGTTTTTGATATCCGTGTGCAGTCAAGTCCGGCATTGATATTTTTATGAGTCAAGCGTGGCATTCAGATATCCTTTATTCCATTTCATTCTTCTTTCTTTTAGCCGATGCTAACTAGTTTGGAATTGAGGTTTTAATTGGTTGACTGTGTTGGAGCTGCTCTTGTGCACTGTTCTTTCGAAGTGGCCAAAGATGTTTGTTTGTCCTGATATTCATTTCTTTTGTGCAGTGGTTCCTCTTCCTGGAGTTGTATTTCTTGTGTTTGTTTCCTTCTTATTTTATGCTGTTGTTTCATATCCTGATATGTTCCAGGACAATATAGTACAAACTTTAGTCTCAGTTTGCTTTCTGGGTAGTCATATGCACTAATCAAATGCTGGGTGTATTATGTTGTTCCTGCAGAGCCGACCAGTGGAGGACTTTTATCGCAGGCGGGGTAAGCTGTTGGAGTTTGATCTCCCTGGAGGAATTCCAGAGTCGTGGCCGAAGTTGCTTCAGGCTTTGAATATCTATGACGATGAGGATAAGAAGTCTGCAGCAGCATGATATTCTTTGTCTTGTCGGTAAGGGTGTACTAGTGTTATAGGTTCATTCTTTTCATGCATTGTATTTAAAATCAGGATATATAACGGGGTTCTCCAACCCTTTTCTCCCCCACAGTTGTATAATTGTATTAAGCAAAGGCAACTGTAACAGTTGTATAATATTTCTTGTAAGGTCACCGGAGCTGTATATTTACCTTAGTACGTCGTGTGATAGCGGTGTCACAATAGTGGATACATTTAATTCATCGGTAACCAAAAATATGCTTTGCTTGTATTAACAGAGTGTAATTCAAGTTGGTATTCATTACTTATCGTGTTTTGTTTGCATTTACAATGTGTTGATCCCTACTTGTTTGCCTTTCGTAACGCGCTTCTGTCTGTATACATATACGCTTATATGGATTTCGTATTTCGTTTATACACTGCAATTGATTAAGATTAAAGGGTTTGTTCAGTATGAAGACAATTATGCCTTTGGATCCTATAAACATGTTCTTTTATATGTTTCTTCCTTGAAATAAAATACATCACAATTTTGGTTTCTTTTGTTACCAAATATAGCATGATTATTATTAGAATATCTATAAGTTCTCACAAAGAGTACATATATTTTACATATATATAAATTTTATAATAGTATAAGAATATTTTCATTAAGTCCTCAGACTAGCATGATGATTTTTCGTCTTCGTCTTTTCATCATGTTCTTGTGTTTATAAAGTTCCGCCACTGTTTTATGAACTTCTTATAATATCATGATTAATGGGATTTTTACATTCCCATATTATTTGAAATCTTATTACCTTCCGTGCTCAAGTTCCAATTTAATTACATGGTCATATATAATTTACCAATTATATACAGATAAGTTTTAAATGAATATCCCTTTATATTAGGAATTGAATAAGGAATATCAGTTATTTCTTTATTCCTTTATACTTGTCCACTCTAGTAGTGTGATCTTAATAAAAGAATATGATTTCGGGCAGTGGAACTTTCACTTAATCGGTTATTATAAAATTTAGAGTTCACAAAACAAAGATTGCAACTCATTCAAGACGAAGATATTGTAGTAATTCATCAATGGATTTCTTGCTGTATAGAGTTTCCATCATTTACAGCCATTAAAGCTTTGAAGTTTTGAAATTGCATTTGGATTTTCAAAAATCATTATTTGTTCGGATTGGGTGTTGTTGCAAACAATTGGGGATATTGTTTGGAGCTTATATCTCAATTTTTGAGGGTGTTTTGGTGAAGATTAGACTTGATTTTGGCTGAATTTCAGATTGAAACTCGAAGAAGAAGAAGAAGAAGACATGACATACAATATATTTACGAAATTGTAGGTAAATTATATTCTGTTGTAGTTATATATATTTTTTTTTATTTGAATATTGTATGAAAGTTGAAAAATAGAGGCCATATTGACGGCTTTATCTGGAATGAGATAGTAAACCTTTAAGGCCACAGGCTTACTCAGGTCTGATCTGTCCCTCTACTATCATCAATAGTTTAAAAAAGCCCTCCGTTATACTATTAGGACAACCAGACCCCTGATGTTATACTATTAAACATATATACCCTTAATTTAACGGGTGGGCCACGTGCCAACACCAAAACCATCCGGTTACATTTAGAATGGATAGATAACTCATTCAATTACGAGTCCAACCATACTAGTTTCACTCAAATCCAACTCCGAATCAACGTTCAAAACTCAAAAATTCACCCTATGAAATTTAGGCAAAACTCCCAGTTTCTCTTTTAAAATCATCAACCAAATGCCAAAAACGAGGATAGATTCATGAAATATAATCACAAGTGAGTCAAGAATGATTACCCCAAGTCACATGGTGAATTTTCTCTCCAAAGTCTCCCAAACCGAGCTCCAAAATCCCAAAATGTGAAATAAGAACCAAGACTTCAAAAATATAGTTCTGCCCAGCATTTCCGCATATGCGGTCATATTGTTGCATCTGCGACCACCGCTTCTGCGGTATTAATCTCGCTTCTGCGAGAACCTCACAACCCATTTGGCACCGCATCTACGGAATAACACTTCGCATCTGTGCGCCCGCAGATGCGGCACTACCATCGCACCTGCGAACTTCTTCGCCCTTGCGACCCAACGCACCGCTTCTACGCTTCCGTAGGTGTGTCCCATTTCTCGCATCTGCGGAGCCCTACTCCCAGCTCCACATCCGCTCCTGCGACTCCTTTGTCTCTTGTGCAACCATCTTACCTGCGCAAATTCAACCACAGGTGCGTAACATCAGTACCGGCAACTACGAGCAACAGCATAAGAATGAAAAATGGTCCGAACCTCGTCCAGAACTCACCCGGGCCCCTCGGGACCCTGTCCGAATATACTAACAAGTCCCATAACATAACACAGACCTACTCGAGGCCTCAAATCACACACAACAACATCAAAATGATGAATCGCACCTCAATTCAAACTTGAATGAACTTTGAACTTCCAACTTCCGAAACTCGCGCCGAAACATATCAAATCAACCCGGAATGAAGTTAAATTTTGCACACAAGTCCCAATGACATAACAAAGCTATTTCAATTCCCGGAACCACAATACGAACCCGATATCATCAAATTCAACTCCTGGTCAAACTTATGAACTTTTCAAACCTTCAAATTTCTATCTTTTGCCAATTTGTGCCGAATCATTCTAGAATTATCCAAATGCAAATTCGGACATACGCCCAAGTCCAAAATCACCATCCGGAGCTAACTGAACCATCAAAACTCTGTTCGGGGGTTAAATACACAAAAGTCAAACTTGGTCAACTCATCCAACTTAAAGCTTCAATCATAAAATTCATACTTCCAAATAGATTCCGAATAACCTGAAACCAAAACTCACGATTCACACAAGTCATAATACATCATATGGAGCTGTCTCAAATCACCGAGCGAAGTACAAATGCTCAAAACGATCGGTCGGATCGTTACAATTAGAATGCTCGAATTCCAATACTTTCGATTACAATTATACTAAAATAAGAGGAGAGACTCTTTCTAAACTTTAGGGTGCCTGGATTTGGACCTGGCACTCCGTGTGGCCGAACCACTAATTCCTATTGAGTCAAGTAGCTAATTATGAGAGGCGAGTACGATCCAATTGCCTAAGTGTAATGCTCACACAAACCTATTTAAGTCAAAGCATTAGGAGTTTGTAATTAAGGCAAAGCTTAAATTAAGGCAATTAATGAACAATTCGTAAGCTCTGACAAGGCATTAGTCAGCACCCTTCTGAAGAGACTCTCAAGTATAACTTTTTGACATAAGCTGTATGATGCGTGAGCATATTATGGAGATGAGAGGCATTGCTGCTAAACTCAAATCTCTTGAGGTTGATATGTCTGAATCATTTCTTGTACATTTTGTTCTCAATTTTCTTCCTACGAAATATAATCCTTTCAATATTTCTTGTAACAAACGTAAAGATAAATGATCAATTAATGAGCTCTTCATCATGTGTATTCAAGAAGAAAAGAGGGTGAAGAATTAGACACTTGAAAGTATTAATTTGGTGACTCATGATAAGAGAAATGCGAATAAAGGCAAAAGTGTTACCATAAAGAAGAAAGACACTTTGACAAAGATATTTTTCGTTTCTGCAGAAAGAAGAGACACTAGAAGAAATATTGTCTGAATACAAGGAATTACTTGAGAAGAAAGGTAATTGTACCTTTGTATGTTATGAATTTAGCTTTATTGAAGTTTTTGATAAAATATGGTGGATTAATTCTGGTTCTACAATTTATGTTGCCAAAATCATGCATGGGTTTTTAACTTTCATGACGCCGATAGGTTAACAATAAACCTATTCTGGCAATAAGATGCGTTCAGGTTTGGAAGACATGAGGACTTATAGGCTTATTTTAAAGAAAAGATTTCAATTAGACTTGAAAAACACTTTTATGTCTCATTATTTTCTAGAAATTTAATTTCTCTTTCAGGACTATCAGTTAGTAGATACGATTTTGATTTTTATTATCATTTAGTAAAACTTTTGAAAGATAATAAAGTTGTTGATTTTAAAAATTTAAATAGAAAATTATATAAACTTGAGCTAGACCCAACATTTGAATGCAATATTTTAACTTTGCATGGTAAAGAAATTGGGGCTAAGCAATGTATTATTAATAAGAACTCATCAAATCTTTAACACAAGAGATTATGACACATCTCTGTTAATAGAGTTAAAAGGTTAGCTAATGATGAAGTTCTAAAAAACTCTTGATTTTTTTTGCTTTGGGATTGTGTGAACGAGGCAAAGGGCAAGCAGACCAACAAATCTACGAAAGGTGCCAAAATGAGTTCTCAATTGCTTGAGATCGTACATACAAATATATGTGAACCTTTTCCTACCCCTTGCTTGAATGGTGAAAGATATTTTTTTTATGACTATTCAAGATATATGTATCTTTATTTTTTGTTTAATAAATCAGAAGCACTTCATGCTTTTAAAGTTTACAAAATATAAGTAAAGAAACTGGAGCTTAGTGTCACGGCCCCAATTTTCCTCCGTAGGATGTCGTGACGGCACCTAGTTACTAATACTAGGTAAGCCTAACACTTACTGAATTAAAGACAGAATTTAACCAGAAACCACTAGTAAGCATGAAACTGAAATTTCTATAGTAAACCGATAAATCCCAAGTGCAATACAATATCCAAAACCAGTAGTACAAGTCATAAGCTCAACTGAGCTTATAGAAAATCCCTAAGTACAATTGTTCCGGAATAGAAATAAACAGTACAAGTAAAATTTCAGAAGGTGACTCCGAGGCCTGCGAACGCAACGACAGGTTTACCTTGAGTCTCCGCAGCAATGCCCGATTAGCTAGATAATGACCAAAAAACATCCTAGGTACATGGATCTGCATAAAATATGCAGAAAGCATAGCATGAGTACACCATAATGGTACCCAATAAGTATCAAGACTAACCTCAGTGAAGTAGCAACGAGGGACAGTCAAAACACCTACTAGACTAAATAACCTGTACAAGTATGAATGTGAAACTAACAGGAAAACAATGTCAATATAAAGCTAAGCATGGTAAAGTTAACAAAAACAATACCCGTAATAAAGCCCTAGAAACATCGATTAGCAATAGGGGGCAACGGGTAATAATACCATAGAGTAAGCTGAACCCGATTTGGATATGGTGAAATCAAGTAAAGGGAACAAGTAACAATTCAATAAGAGCAACCCCTTCCACACAAGATTTGCTCAAAGATTTTCCCGAGGTACTTCACCTCTTAGTCACACTTCACGGGTCCCGATTCGCGAACTCTAATT